AAGAAACCTGATACTAGTGATAATCATTTAGTGAATAACCACGAAAGAGACACTAAACTTGCTCAACCGATGATTTCTTCATATTTCACTCTCTGAACTATGAAGTCTTTTTTGTTATGCTTCAGAATTTTGCTATTTAAGTACAGGCTGTCCTCGTGAACACTGTTAACGTAACAACACTATAAGTTACAACCACAGGTTGTCATTATGATCATTTAAAATACTTACTTATAAAACTCGACACTGGCGAAATCTTAAAAAGAAGGAACCGCCATTGAGCAAAACGAAGAAGAAGAATATTTATATTAAACTCTATATTGCTTATTCAATGTTAAATCTAGAACTGAAAACCAATGACCCAAAAAATATAATAAACGATTACAAGACTCATAAAATTTATCATAATGGTTATCGATATGTTTAGTTCGCATCTCTATTTACGTTACGATGACAAGTGTCAAAAGGTGTCTCCTATTTTGTAGCTTACGAGGTTAAAAAAAAATAAAGGAAAGCAGCTGCCCTATCTACGGAACAAACGTCCCTACCTAAACCAAAAATGTTCACCACAAATAGCGGATTTAGTGTCGTACCACAATCATAGATAAGTCAATATCGACATGCAAATGTATGGCTTGCATGTTGAGACGGTTTTTTTATGTTTGCAAATTTGTATAGGTTACTGTAAACAAAGTATGATTAATACTAGGCTATTATTACTAGGCAAGTAATGAGCCATTTTAATCAAAATTAAATATAAAGATATTTACCAATAAACGTAACGATGGAATTGCATTATCATGTAATCTAGTTACATTCAAAGTTCTATTAAAACTTGACTTCAAAATGGAGCGAACAAACGAAGATGGTATTTGACCCAATGTTTATGTTCGGCAGTCCTATAATTTCCAAACATTATTTCTTTCTTTTTTCATTTGTAGGTAAACTTTAAAAAAATAATGGAATAATAAAAACCTCGTAGTGAATTGTTTTAATAACAGAATATCGATAATATGTCTGCTTTCTAGAACAACACTATCTCAAAATAATCGTTATAAACAATCATCAAAATATACTAACAAACAGGCAATCTAAAGTAACCAACGCAAAATTCGGTAAGACTTATGAATAAACTACATAAATGAGTCTAATTACATGAGATATGTGGGCTATTGTATGATTTATAGGCAGAAAAATAACACTTGCCGTTGTAATGTAACATTCGGTTGATTTCCGATTTTCTACTGCCGCACCCCTTAATGCTACAACGACGCATTTTAATCAATACTTAATTGTTCTCACTGTCAATATTTTTGTCCATTTCATTACAATTCATGCGAATAATTCAATAAAACATTTGGCAAAACATTGGTTTTGACATTTGATGTACTTCCCTTTGACAACCGGAAACGGTTATCAGAGTACTCCAAAAATGGTAAAATGAGAACAGTTGGCATTTAAGATGACGTTACGCATTTTCGATTCCCGTGTTCGACTTAAATCAATGTAGTGCTATCTCTTTTAGCTTACGACGGTACGCAGTAGTTAAACAAAGACAATAAAACGTTTATGTTTTCAACGTCAAATGCATCATACACATATAACGTCTGATTTATATATGTCAATATAACATATCCTTTGGTTTCCATAGTCTATGATTTTGTAGCGACTACAAGTTAGGCTGCCTCTCCACCAGAGATGTGCGACGTAGCGAGGCGGTGTGCGAGGAAAAAATCCACCAACAGCATTACTTCATTTTCCTAGCCTCGCTTGGCGCAGCTCCTGTGGAAATGACCCATACAAAATAGCGAGAGATGACAGAAGGTGTGGAAAACGGTGTAGGAAACTAGAGCTACTGAAAGTATGACACTAACTGACACTGACACATCGCCACCGCTCACCCCACCACACCGCGGCCCGCCCGCGCATAGCTGAAAAAAGCCCGTAACGCATCCTCGACCCGCGCCGCTGAACATCCTCTCACCGCCTGGCTACTGCCTAAACATAAAAGTATTGAAAGTAAAATGCTTCTACAGAGTTTATCAGAACTTTATTGAATCTTATGTTGTGTCTGAATTAGTGGGCACTTCTTTAGTATAGAATGTAGCTGGGCAGATGACTGGCAGCGTGGTGACACCTTTCTTATTAACCACTTTTACCTGAAATGTAATTTAACACCTTTTGTAAGAGCCGCACCCGGGGTCTACTTAAAAATAATTAATAGATCCGGTGCTGGTTATGTGCGTGCTTAAAATTACATAATAACTTATATTTGGCCGTTATTAAAACATACGTGATCGTCTAGTTGTGATGACTTAATATTGGACCCTCTACGTTGTGTAATTTTTTTATACCGTAAGTAAAAGAGTTTAAAAACCGTCGCGAAATTATTCAAAAGCACAGGACAGTAAATTACTGCCGTAAGGTAAATAGACCTTAATAGCAAAAAATAAAATAAACCGTTGTCGTAAATTAAACCAAATTTGTAACTAATTCATGCCTGTAATGTAATTATGTAAATACAATATAAATAAAATATGACCAGTTGCTCCAGTGGTTATCGGCAATCCATTGACCAGCAGATGGCACATATAACGAGAGAAAGCCGACTTCAAAGAGACCTTTAGGGTAAGACTTTTAAGTCTAGATGGGGTACCAATCTGATAAACGATACCTGGCCTCCCAGTATGAGGTTCGTTAGAAGGTCAACCTGAGACCCCAATCCTCACATCCAACAAAGCCTTCAGACAGCTAATTGACCTTGTATAATGCCCAAGTCTCGTTTATACCCTGACGCGCTCCTTACAAAATCATTCGTTCACATTCTATAAATAAAATAAACATGCAAGTTACGCTCCCTAAGTTAGGCTTTGCATTTACGCGCTGCTATTTAACTACGCTTCCCTACTTTGAAAGCAGCCGCGGATGTTTGTGTCAAGAACTAGAGGCTGATGATGAGTTGTGCAAGGTAGTCTGAATACCATTTGAATGCGTCTAACAATTACCATTCTGTGATCCCCTTACATAAAGTTCCAGCTCTAACCAGACTTCACACAAGACGCAGAGGGTCAAGGGTTGTGTATAGCCGAGACGACGTACCCCAGAGACCACTGATTAAAGTTATAAGTAACCAAATGACTCAGGCCTTGTGTGTGTACCCAGTGCATGTAAAGGATCCAAGTTAGGAGCGGACAACGTGCGCAACCTAAGTTGGACCCTAGTACGTGACGTAATGCTGTCCAGTTTGTCCGGGAGCTAGTCTCAGCCAGAAAACCTTCCTGCGGTGTGTTAGCTAGTGAATGTGTAAAAATTTTGAGTGAAAGTGTAGTGTGTACCTAGTACATGTAGTGGAATCGAACTGCTGAGATCATTCGGCTTCTGAACCGTTTACTCAGGTCGACCCCACGCGTGCTGTTGTGTAGTGTAGAGTAATTGTGTGTGTATGTGTGTGTAGTGTGCAAGTAAAACCTGCTAATATCTCTAAGTTGACACTGACGAGAAACACAAAAGCATACGACATGTGACACAGTGCTTGCAATGAAACGTTAGGTAGAGCGGAGGAGATTTTATTATAAGATGGAACCACTCTTCCCTTATATCATTGAAAACGCAGCGACACTCTAATTTATAAAGCATTTAAAAGCAGGCAGACAGAGAAAATATATATCAGATTATTACTAACTCTCAGATCATTCGCACTGTAACTAAACTTGGAGCCTAACTCAATGCAGCTTCGCACCATGAACAACGCCGTCGATAATGTTCTAAAATTAGGAATAGATTAACAACAATTAAATCATGAACCGCCGGAATTGTACAATTAAGAAATTAAGAACGATTTAGCCGCGTCTAAATAAAAAATGTGACGATAAAAATAAAACAAAGTCAGCACTCTAGGGTTTTCCTTTCCTAGGGGTGAGGGGCGGCTCACCCCTAGGAAAGGAAAACCCTAGATATAGTTAGTTGAGCAAATATACATACTTGACATTATTCATGGAATTGGTATAAAATACATTTAGATGAATAATTCCTACTGTACTTGTTAGCCTCATAATCGTGAATCCCTCTCTCAGTATGTAATTTAAACTTAGCTGCCGGTTTCGTCATCGTCGCGTTCCGCGTGCTGGCCAGCTCCCGCGTTCTCTGCCTGAAATGCAGTCTCCGCGCCCGCGACAAACGATGCGAAATAGAAGGACACCCAACTACTCTACACTCAAATTCGCGCGCGACACGATAAGGATCCGATTTTCGACCGTCCTCGAGCCGAGACCTGAATCCACGTCCCGAAAAGCTAGATACCCAACTCACGTCTCCCTGATCCAAGGTTTTCGCCCCGGCTCCCAATTTCCCTCTCCATTAACTTCACCATCCCCATTTTCGTTAATACGGTTTCTAACTTGACCAATAACCGAAATTATATTTGTTCTAAAGGGTGTGGCTTTATTAGAGTCCTATTTGTTAAACCTTCTTTAACACCCAACGTTTTGTCAATGCGCGCATCTTGTTTATTGGCATCTGGCGTTTATTGTTCTTACCGGCTCTCGTTACATTTTTATACAGCACCCTTCCGCATAAAGCAATAGTGTTCCCTGTCATTTAGTTTTAAGCCGAGAAATTGTGCAACAAAAGCCCTGTCCAAAATTATGCTCTTTGTTTATACAATGACCATTTCCGTAACCTTTGCCAATTTCGTGAGGGCGAAACAACTATTAAAAAAATTCAACGCAATTCTTTGAACCCGTCTAGAATGACTTTACGATGCACATGTGCGTTAGCCTTAGAAAGCTTGACAATAAATCGTAGTTTATTTACTACTCCCTAATCTTAAAGAGTCCTACAGACGACGGTTACACTTCACTAAATCAAACTTGCTATTATCCTGGCACTTCTTTCACCACGACTAAGGGTACTTGAGCTGGTCTTTCGTTAGGACATCTTCAACTTGGTAATTGTAAGTTCGCCTTGTCCGCTCCTTACCAACTTGCCCGCCGACACTCGCCTTATTAATTTGTTTCGTCAATTTTCTTTTATTAATTTCTCTATCATTGTCACTGCATCTTCCATACCGCTCTTTTGTTACATTGTTCCGAAATATGTCCATCCGAATCACTTCAGTCAAACTTCTCGACGCCCCCATTTTCACAGCATTAATTCATTTACAGGCTTCTTCAGCCAAACTCAATTATCATTGCCATACTTAAATGTAGAAACCAGTAGCCCTCCATGGAAAGCCAATCAAGCCCTTTTTGAAAATTTTCCGGCTATGCATGAAGGCTCTTCAGGACTCTTCGTCCAATATCACTTTCATACTTATAAACATACAACCCTTTTACCAACACACATCTGAACTTTTCTAGAGCAATATAAACTAAGCATAATTATTAAGTTTTTATAAAAATAACATAATTAAATATCTTCACGAAACGTTTTACATTTATAAAATGAACCATTTAATTACCTGAAAGCTGGGCAGATTCATGAATAACCTGGTATGGATCTCGTAGACACACTGCGCCAAAACATTGTAAGCTTCCGACTCAGTTAATGCTGTTAAACGAAAAATAAATCATTTCAAGTAGGTACCACAATGAAATCTTCATAAATGTTGAAAGGGTTTTGAAGTGCTGCCAGAAACTTGTTATTATTATCTCATGTAATCCCTTTGAATTCAAGAGAAATGTCTGTATCACTGTTTTTCTGATCTTATGATTCCACATTTATATTCTTCTTCAGTTTAACTCCTGTTGCGCCTTTTCTGGCTTTTAATCAACGCTTTATGTCATCGGTACCTTGCAAGGTAGTCTAGTACACTCCTGGTACCCTCGTAACATCTAAGATGCCTTTCCAATCACACATACTCGTACTCACTAGGTTTATAATAATAGTCCAACATGCTAATAGAAAACAGTCCACCAAAACCGTGCGCAACGTACGGCATGCAAATGTTGGTTGCCAAGAGGTCTACGTAATACAGCTTTGCTCCATCAATCTCGTCATAGCCTCCGACCAGGAGATTTATTAAGTAGGGAGACTGGAATGAGAGATTTTTTCATGAGTATGTCAGTGTTTAAGAAAATATATTCCAAGAGTCGACACCACCTCAAATGGCTTTAATTGATCACGCATAACAGTGAAAATGTTACTGATTGAACACACTATGAAAAAAATATGTAGTAAAATTGAGGGTGTATATAAAACCAGTATCCCTGCCACTCGACCCGCGCAAAATGAATAGATTCAGTTCGGGAAAAATTTTAAATTCGAGTTGAGGCAGTATCGACTCGTAAGTATGTCAAATTAAAGCTTTTCACGTCAATAACAATATCTTTATCGATATACCTACGCTGCTTTCGTTCCCAATAGTAACAGCGACTGGTACATACCACTGGTGATGGTACTATTACAGTTGGGAATTTTGTTCGCAGTAAGTCTCACGGAAATTTTCGTATATTCGAATGCACCCGAATTCTAATATTACCACACTCACAGTTCTAAGAGAATCGGCCATATTCTTCCTCACAAAATGAACAGCTGCATTCGTGCCCAACTTGTAGCCATTCCGCATCTTATACAGAGATAAGTTTCGCAAAATGTAATGCGAGAACTGAGCTGTGTCGCCTGCATCCCCTGCCACACCCATCAGGAGTTTGTCTGCTAAAGGTATTATTTTGTCTTCATCTGAAAAAAAACCAATGAAAGAAGAAAGGTGACTTCTCAAATGTGTAATTCCATTCCAGTTTCGAAGGGTATTACAGACACTTGGGACCGTTTAAAAAGAGATCTACCTTGAGACTAAGGATAATCCGCCCGCGCTTGCAATCGTATCCGGTACTGGCGAGGCGCAATCAATCCCGGTACTGCGATTATAGATTCCCGGTCCTCCCGATTATAGCTAGGGACTATCTACCTACTGCACTGTAAGTTATATCTCCCGTTGACAACTGAATACGGGCTCACGTTAGTGCAATTATAATTCTACTTAACTACAATGTGATTTTACGATACTAAGTTACCTATGTTAAATTTAATTATAATTATCTCTATAATAAATACCTTTAGTTTCGTTAGAGAATGAAGTTGTTCTTTATTATTTATTGTATTATTACTACGCAAATTATTTAATGCGTACCGATAACGCGGAAAAATCATTAAGTTTTTCAAAAAGTACCCGGAATACCGGTGAATCGAGCCCATCATTGAGAATCAAAATTTTTGGAACAGCTGTCAGGCTTTGGCGCTCAGTTTTCATCGATCTCCCGCCGCCACACCCCGGACGCTCCATATAACGGTCGAAAGTTATTTACCTACTACTACTACACACAGCATGGTGATATCTGCTATCTATATCACTCGTCCATACCCTGTCCCTCCACAGGGGGGAGCGCAAGATCGCCTCCCCCATTAGGTGGTCCGCTGGTCGGCGAGACGCGGTGTAGACGCGGTCCACACTGGAAGGGCAGAGGGTTCTGGTGTGGCCAATCCCCATGCACTTGTAGCAGCGCAAGGGGAGGGGCTCCATCACATGAACCCCGGCAGAGGACCACCCCACCAACAGGCGGCCGGTAGTCGCCACCAATTGGGCTGCCGCTACTAGGCAGCGAACGAGTGCTGATCCCCTTCCATTGGAGGCCAACCTGACAGCTCCTACGCTCACAAGGGACGGGGAGCATTGGCCCTTCGCGGCCACCACCGTCCGGATCTTCTCTGGGGTCACCGACTCGTCTAAGCCGGTGACCCTCAGATCGACGGTTTTGGTTGGCCGCGTTACTGCCGCCAGCCCCCCGATCACCTCCTTCAGCTTGGCCGCCAGGGGGCCTTCCCAGCGATGGTCGCCCCGGGCACCTCGATTATGCGGGCACCCGTCTGGGTGTTCCGCACCTGCACGTGCGGGATGCCGAGACTGCCCAAGTACATAGCCGCGGTCACCGCCTCGAGGACCCCTGCGCCCGTCACCCTGAGATATAAGTCGACAAGACCCATGTCCCTGTGATTTCACCAGCACACTTACCCTTCAAAACCGAAACGCATTACTGATTGGCGGCAGAAACAGGTAAGGTGGAAGCACTTCCTTGGATGATGTAAATATACCTATACGAGGAGAACATAAGTAAATTTTGAGAAACTGCTCCAGACAGTATGCTAAATGTTGTTTCATATCAATCTTTGGCATAACAGATTTATGTTTACTTTTAAACGTACTTGGTCATAGTTTTAATAAATATTTATTTCCTACGAAACCAGAGAAACACGATGATGTTGTTTCAAGATGTGCTATAGAAATCATAGTTTCGTCACCAGCAATTATATTCATTATAATAACATGAAAGGTCGACGCGGGTGCAACTCCGTTGTCGTCAATGGCGCAGCCTTGCCCTTAGACTCGATGTACATTGTCATTTTAAATTAGGCAGAGTACATTCCGTTATTATACACATCCGGACACATAATTCGAGCCACCACGCATTTTCAGCATTAAGTGTCCTAAGCTGAAACAATGTTTGATTGATCAAAAACTATTATGCAATTTTGAAACGAGTATACTAAACGTCTTTTCCATACGTCCTTGTTGGGAATTTGGATTTGCAAAACCGGGGGAAAACTTTTTCTTCGATGATAACACTATTTTTGTATTCTAACCTTTCACGACAAAAATGCGAGGTGGCTCGATGTATGTGTCCGGGAGTATATTTGCGTTCTTCTCACTAGACCTCATTTTCACGAATAAAATATAAACAATACAAAACTTTCATTAAATTCAATTTAAACATTTTCCACTTTTTTTAAATGGCGCGCGTTTGTTCATGCACCATATATTTTTTAATAAGTGATATGTTCGGTACGGCTGCACTCAACGAGTGGTTTTAAGTCCGTGCAATAGTATTAAGTATGATGTTATATTTGTGTAAATAGTTTAAGGTTTATTTGTTGTACTCTAATTTGTTCTAATAGTCTTAAGTGGTAGAAATAACGTTTGTATGTGTGTCTCGTTTTATTCCAATAAGGATCAAACAGGTATTTAGATTTGGAATAGTGAGTAAAATAGAGATAGCGCAGATAAGCGCTAGGGCGACTACTTATACACCTGAATGCGGGCGCTTGACTGAGGTTGTTATGTACCACTTATATAGTTTTTAAGACGTTATGTACAAATTAGCAGTAAGAAATGTATATTAGAAAACTATTTGTAATAGATTAACGTGTGAAAGATGAATAAATAGTACAAAGGGGGTGAGGTAACTTTTGGCGGGAAACGGAAAACTCGCTCACCTATAAAAGGCGCACTGGTGCCAATAGATACACAGTCCAAAAACAGCCTAAGCTCGAGATACATAGAAAAACCCGAAGAAGAGCCAGCAGGCTCTTCTTCGGGTTTTTCTATGTCATGCCAACCTTCCAGTCAAAAGCCAGTCTCCAGATCTTCACAGTATATACAGTCGTTGTTTGTTTTGAAACCAGTCATAGGGCATCCCGCACATGCTCACCCATTTATTCGGGGAGGTAAAGGTTCTAAGTGGTATATTTATATTATGGTGCACCATAATTAAACACAAAATGAGTAAAGATAATAACTATATATATATTTTTTTTTATTCTCGCATTTACGAGCACTGATGCTAGTGAGCTGTTGGCTGTATGATAGTTTTTCTTGACTTCGCTTACATAGTTCTTTGCTAGTAGATATATTTAAAAGTTTAGAGCAGCGGACAGTGAAATTTCGATTTATTTTTTGACAGCTCAAGCCAAAATAAGTAAGAAAATCCATTACTATATATAATTACACACTTTCTTATAAACATTTCCGAGCTTGTTTGAGAAAAATTTGTCATTTAAATAACTCTAAAGTAAAGGTGTTGACAAAATAAAGGTAATCTTTAACGATTTTTCTTTCTTGATAATCCACCTAGGATTATAACAATCGTAACAATATGCTTTCACAAATCGGATATGTGATAGAATGCATGCGTGAATAATAGCAAATTTTACGATGTTTTATGAAACAGTGAGAAAGTTTATATAGATGAAATGAAATAAGAAAAAGAATGCTCTATGTTTCCAAAACAATAAAGTCGTTCTCCTGATCCTCAGTTTAATCTAAACCACGTTAGTACACACACATTGTTGCACGTATTTTTGTTTTTTTTTTTCAAACAAACGAACGTTTTGTGCCCTTTACAGATTCTATGGTGACGGCTGAAAATGGTAAAATGATCAACCAGATACCACATTTTTAATTTACCAAAGAACATTATAATTAATGCATACGTTCGCGATATTATTACATGTGGCTTTATTATTTAATAAAGGGTACAATATAAAGTTTTATATTGTAAAGATTTATACTGAAGTCTGAAAGAAACATTTAAGAAAACTGAACCCCCCAGCAACAAAATACTCCGTGTACCTTTACGCGGATTGCCAAAGATTTAATGTACTTATACGATTGATACGATAAAAAGTAAAAGAAGATATGAAAAGTTGTATAAAATAATTTTTTTGTAAAAAAAGACTTCAAAAGTTGGTTGGTGGACTTACATCTATTTGCCAAGTTTTATTGGAATCGGTTAATAAAAAAGTGGGTGAAAAAGAATAAACCGGATTCAGCCCCTAATTTGCCACTCTTCGAGATGGAATACTTTCTTCACATTTTAATGGGGCTACTACTCAGGTACCTACCCCCTTTTCAACAAAAATAGAATCATCTAAATCGGTTAATGAATCACGTAACACACACGGGGAAAAAGCAAACCGCTGTCGAATTGAGAACCTAAAGGTAGTAAACTTTCCAATAATATTTCAAATGATTAGAATTAGTATTAAGTTAAATTTGTTATTAACTCTCACTCACTTAGTAGTGACGGAACGAACAAGTGCGCCTGTTGGTAAGCTACGCAGAGCGCAAAGACCTGAGGGGTACTGCCACTACGCCCGTCACCCTGACAACCGTCACCATGCCTGTAATTTTACCAGCACCCTTAGGGCGCGTTTGTACGACACGAATTTCACCCCGCGCGGTCGAAGAACGGAGTCCGCGGCGGCCGCCGCGCGATCCAAGAGCGGTTAACGTGTTCAGAGACCGAACTGTCATGGCATAATCTCAGTACAGAGTACTAAAAAAGGCGACCTCAAAAGTACGTGGAATTACGTCTATTTGCTAAGTTTCATTGAAATATCCCCTAGTTCGCTACTATACAGGACTTGATAATAAGATAATAAAAATAGGTTCTCACTACGACACTACTCAAAGTATATCGAGAGAAAAACGCCTTGAATTGGAGAAATAGCAAAATCAACTAAATAATTGCTAAAAGTAATTGCTCCTAAATTAAAGTTAGGCGTTATTTATAAAAATGAATCTTCATGCGTGAACAGCCACCCTTTGAGGTGGATGATTTTCTTCAAAATGAAATGGGACCACTATGGAAATACCCCCTTTCCAACAAAAAAAGAATCATGAAAATCGGTTCACAAATACCGGAGTTATCGCGCAACATACATACAAAAAAATACATATACAGTCGAATTGAGAACCTCCTCCTTTTTGAAGTCGGTTAAAAATACGCTCTATTTATTTAGCGTTTAGCTGGAAGGCAATAGCTGTCTTTTGTCTACGCGGTCGGCGAGCGGAGTCCGCTCTTCGACCGCGTGGCGGCCGCGCGAAAACTTTCTCCTCGTGTGTCTGGGCGTAAGCGCTCACCCCGCGCGGTCGCCGCGCTTCTAACTGTCACGGCAAAATACGCTCTATTTGTTTAGAGTTTACATTTTAACTTAAATAAGCGTTCCGGCCACGGGGGCGAGTCGGGCTTGAATTTGGTCTACGCGCCGGCCGCGCGGTTGTGTTATTCAGAGGAATTTAAATGTCGTTGCCTAGTAAATAGAATTCAGATTCGCCGTTAACGTACATAAAGGCGAGGTAACTGAGCGGTAGCCGCACGATAACTTTCACCTCGTGTAACTGGGCTCTTACTATTGAAAACGCAGTAAAGTTTACATTACTGTTTTGTGACAGTACTTTCCTGGACGAACCCTTTCACAAGGAGCTCTGCTGCTGCTAGATCATATTGCTTTCAGAGAATACAATGCAAAACTTTATGCTTTAAAATTTCTTACCATTTTTCAAAATAAAAATGCCCTGCGTGTTCGTCTGGTCCGCTGCTATCATCACAAAATCATTGCATGCGATGCCTAGAAGGCACTGAAACATCGCACGCTGCATTCTGCTCCTTTAAAGTCTTGGTATTTTATATATTGTTTAAAAGACCATCTGAAGAAGCATATACCAATTTCCACTATCTAGTGTACAGTCGAAAGCCTGCAGTTATTAGGACTGTTATAAAACACTATCGCGCAATAAACCACCATACCAATGCAATAGATATAATACAAATAGGTATAACAAAGAGAAAGATTAAAGAGCATTTCAATTTGCAATTGCAATTTAAATTTTTCTTGGTCCTTAACTTCTTTGGATCAAGGTCGGGATATCTAGTTACGTAACGTACAATAGGATCCTTGACGGATTCACTGGCGGTGTCTATTTTTCCTCGAGAACAGAAGGCCATTTTCTCAATTCATTTGTCTTGTCAAAAGTGTATAAAAATCAAAAAGTTTCATTCATGGGCAGATGGCATACATTCATTTACACGCAGCTTTGTCGAGATAGTTTTTAGTCGCAGTAAAGCTCCTTGTGACAGAGTTCGTCCAGGGTAGTACTGCCTCCTTACCTATTTCTGCTGTTATGTGTGCTGTAACAATACGAAAAAACCATAGCTCCGCGTCATCGTTTACTGCTGATTTTCAGTTACAACCTATAGCATTGTTTCCCAAAGTGGTCCCTACCGCCCCTCAGTGGGCGCTGAAGAGTCCTAGAGGGGCGGTAGGGGCTTCAGTAGCAATTGGGAGGCGTTGATGCGGTCCACAGGGTGCCATCTCATTTGAAAAAAAAAAACCTGAATTATCTATAAAAACTACACTACAAAAATATTTTTATCCCTTGTGATTTTTTGTGTTGCGTTAATATAACAAATATGTGTTTTCAATTATTTTTTGTGGTGGTGGATGACGAAATTTTTTTTATTTTGCCTAAGTGGGCAGCGAGCCAAAAGTATAAGATAGGAACCCATGACCTACAGGGTGCTTCGGATACGATAAACGCCATTTGGATGTTCTTCAACAATATAAGCAAATAATAATGTCAATACTAAATAAATACGAAATATTTACATATAATATTTCTTAAATTTGATTTAATTACATTAATAATATAATTAAAATTGTAAATTAAAATTATACGTGAATATTAAGCTATTACACAAAGTTATGAACCCAGTTTTCACCTCCTAAGCAAAGCGCTGTGGGATGACCATGTGGAATTTTTTTGACCGTATAGAAGTGCCTTTACCTTTTCCTTGCAAGTGAATTTATTAAGGTGGCGGGATATTATTCCAACACTTTGTTGCGTCGAAACTGCCAGTGAATGCTGCTGTTCGATGTCGCTGTACGCTTATAGGGTGGCGTGGGAAGAAATTGTAATTTTGATATAAGATAATCCGGATTCTTTTATTTCAAAATAAAGAGACAAGATGTAATTATCTGCGATGTTCAATGTACACACATTGTTTAGAAAAGGCGTGATATAACGCCTAGGCGGAACATGAACAATAAATGTACAACGTGCAATCTGCACGCGCGTATAACAGTCAAGATAAAAACAAGATCTGCGTAATTTAGACGAGATCAATACAGTAATCTACCCTGTGCACTTTCATGTTAATCTTGCGTCTTGCCGCCTCGATGAAGCAATCATATCCACATTCAGCTGTCAAATTCGAGTGATAAACCGGCATTTTATAATTTTATCACAATAGCGAACATGGCGAACACCGTGACGACACATTTTTACTGCTGCTGACTGCAAAAGATTAACACTGTAATTTTATCAACGTAAAAATTGAGCGCGACAAACGAAATGAAAAGATATTTTTTTGTTTCATGGTTTTCGCAGCGCATATACGCAATTTCATATAGTTGTCCTTCTCCAAAATCTATAATAATAGTTCATTACCAAACAAGCAAACTTAGATTTATCAACTGAATTAAATTTTACACGGGGAGGTTTATCACACATATTCTGCCATATTACAGCCACTGTGCGCCTTATTCACATGATAATTTCGATTATCGCATAACTCTGACTGTCACGTTTTCACGCTCGTTTTCGACCAAACTACTGAACCAAATTTGATGAATTTGGGTATAGAGATAGATGGGACCTTGAAGAAGGTCATGGGCTTTTTGCCATAAAAATAAATCTTAAATGGAGTACAATAGGAGATGAACTTTTATAATAAGAACCTTTTTTTACGTGTATAAAATCATAATGGGGAACCAATCATTTCTCGAGTGAGACGCCGCGCCACATAAACGTGTCTTTTGTTGGATACAAGCAACCAGCCAGAAA